CACGTAATGCACGCGAATTTTCAGGAGGGAGAGGGGGGAGGGTCGTGCAATTTCAATCCGATGAAAACTCGCGGGGCAACGACGACCTTTCGCGAGGGGGGGGGGGGGAAGGCAACTTGGGTCGTTGGGAAACGGAGATGCGAAATATCCCGCGGCGGTAAGTCCGACTTGAGTTCGAAAGTTTCTCGTGAAAACTCATTTCCGCCGGGGCGATGGGACGCCCGAGGGGGATTCGCGGCCCTTACGAAAAATAGGAGTGAAGAAGAAAGCAGAATGAGCGGAGGGAAGTTTGCGCGCGTGAGAAACTGCCGCGTCTTGCATTTCGCAACATCTTTTAACGAACTTACACGCACCATACGCGAGCGGGAGAGTAGCCGTAAGCGCGAGTTTCTCCTTTCGCGCCGCGACGCTCCTTGCGATAATCGAGACATAATTTTTTTCCGCGGAGCGATTTAACCTCGCCTTGTTACACGAGTTGGCTCTTACAGGCGGCGATGCCTCTTTATCTTTTATTCAGAATCGAAATGAGGAATTTTGAGGATTGTGTACTCTACAATTTTTGGAGTGAAATTTTCATTCAAATTATTACAAGTTAAGCCCGCTGCAGACGATGCTATTTTTCCTGCTGGATTGCTTGCGATTTACTAAATTACTAGGAATCCTGAGTGCTGAATGGTGCAACGATAGTGATTTATTAAATCGCAGACAATCCAGCAGGAAAAATAGCATCGTCTGCAGCGGGCTTTAGATACAAGTTAGACAGAGACACATTGACTCAGCTCAGATCTTACTCTCTTTCTATATCATAGACATAGTCTATGTCTATGTCTATGGGTGCGTTCCGAATTAGCTATATTTCTAGTTACAAAGTTGATACCACTGTAACTAACTTGCGTAGGTTCCGTAATGTATCAGCTGATTTCATTTCTTGTGTTTAATGTAAGAGAATTAATTTAATTCGTAATATGTCTAATACAATTAATCCCAAATATAAATTGGACATATATTGTGAAACCGAAAAGAAAAAGTTTACTTTCGTAGTTTCGAAAGAAACTTATTTGCATACTAAAAGCATGCAGTAACTAAAAATAGTTTTAATTATTTGCAATACTTGTTTATTAGGCTGACTAATATTTAGACTAACTAATAAACAAGTATTGAAAATAATGAAAACTATTTTTAGTTTACTTACTGCTTTTAGCATGCAAATAAGTTTCTTTCGAAACTATGAAAGTAAACTTTTTCTTTTCGGTTTCACAATATATGTCCAATTTATATTTGGGATTAATGTATTAGATATATTACGAATTAAATTTATTCTCTTACATTAAACACAAGAAACGAAATCAGCTGATACATTATGGAACCTACGCAAGTTAGTTACAGTGGTACCAACTTTGTAACCAGAAATATAGCTAATTCGGAACGCACCTCTATGTTCTATATCTTAAGACCGATGCCACAGTATAACCAGTATGCCCACTCGCTCTTTAGTTTCACGTTCGCGCCGATCGTACTGCGCATCCGACATGTTTTAGTTATGACCAATCACAGGATTTTTGTACGTGTGTTAGTGCAAAGTCGGTGTGACATTGAAAAATTTGCAGTGTTGACGAATAACGCGTTAATACTTTTATATATTGGAGCAAGTAATTACATTAATTACTTTTATTAGAACATTTTTTTCATAGGCCATTTCCATTTACAATAAATAATGTACGCTAGTTCGTATGCGCCTTTCCTGGATACGATCCTGAAAAGGGCCCAGGCACTTTTAGCCGTTAATACACTGTTGGGGCGATTAAAAACATGGCGGAAAATTGAGAACGCCCAGATCAAAGGTGCCGACAGAGAGTGGGCATACTGGTTATACTGTGCCGATGCCTCCTACAGACGGCGCTCATGCTCCAGCTTGCAAATAAGAGTATGTGCCACTAGATGGCTGCCAAACTCATAAGTAAGACCACGATAGTCCGGTATATAAAGAGATCCGGCAAGTACCGAAATCGGCCAAAATCGGCTCTGTTGTTTTTACAGCACCCTGCAGTAAGAAAGGGAATAACCGACACAAGCGAGCAGTTCTGTGCGTGTGTTTCGGCGAGAGGCCTCGAACTCACATGTATAGGACTGCTCGCTTGTGTGTGTCATTCTCTCTCTTACCACAGCGTCCCTCTGCACTGACAAAAAAAATTTATTAAACTAAGTAAATAAATTTACTTAAAATTATTTCTTTATACTGAAGTAAATATTTATTCTATTTAAAGAAAAATGTCAAATTTCAAGTAAAACTATGTATTATATTGAGTAAATTAATTTAAATCATTACATTTTCAACATTCAAATAAAGATTTCATGAGATGTAGAATACTATTTATTAAATGAAATAATTGGTTTTGTAAAATAAAAAATCCAATTTTCTTTGCTGTGAAAATTACATCTTAATAAACTTTTTACAGAATTAAAATAAAATTTTTTTAAATTTAAAATTATCTATTCTTTGATATTTAATAAATACTTAAATTAAAGCGAGGGGGAAACCGCTGAGGGCATTGTGGTGTACAGATTTGCGGCATTACTGGGCATTACTAGGGCATTTTTTGGGCATTACGTCTTGCTGGGGCATTATAAAGATAAAATAAGATAAAATAAGATACAATAAGATAAAAGAAGATAATAAGATAAAGTAATGCCCACTGGGCATTAGTGGGCATTGGTATACAAGATTTTGGTCAGCGCAGCGGTTTCCCCCTCGGATTATGCGTACAAATTGTGTATCGTGATATGATTATTAAGATAATTTGATAATCGAATTATGTTATAGTTTATACAAATCCTCTTTAATATTGTTTAGTAAAGGTATTGATGTAATTGAAGAATTATGAAGTAGAATACTGAAATATGTAATTAATAAAATTAAGCAAACGTGATAGCTTTTAGTATAATAAATCTCAGCAGTTTTTCAACAGGGCAAAGGTTGATTGTTTTTGATCCTCTCACGAAGTGGCTCGTTCAGCATATTATCATACAGTAGACGAATGTTACCTCTTCATGTCGTTGTGAATCTTGAAGCTGTGATGACCTATATTTAGAAGGAAAGAAAAAGAAAGAAGGGAAGGGTCGTATACAGACCATACGCCTTTCATAAGAGTGTCTTTTAAACAGTTACTTATACAATAGATACGAGCGTCTATCGTACACTGAAAAAATTTCTGGTTGAATATGGACGAATCAGATAATTCCTTTAGGATTTACCAGAATTTCTGTAGGATTACGAATCAGATAATTCCTTTAGGATTTACCAGAATTCCTTTAGGATTTACCAGAATTTCTGTAGGATTACAGGAATTCTGGTAAATCCTAAAGGAATTGTGGTAAATCCTAAAGGAATTATCTGATTCGTCCATATTCAACCAGAAATTTTTTTCAGTGTAGACAACCAAGCTTTTCGTATTCCCTTTTACAGACAACCGACTTTCGTGTGTCCTTTTACAGACAACCAACCTTCGTACGTCGTTAAAGACAACCAAAACTTCGTGTGTCTTTACAGACAACCGAAAACTTTGTGCGTCTTTACAGACAACCAACTTTCGTGCGTCGTTACAGACAACCAACTTTCGTGCGTTGTTACGGACAACCAACCTTCGTACGTCTTTACAAACAACCAACTTTCGTACGTCTTTGCAGACAACCAAAAAACTTCGTGCGTCTTTACAGACAACCAAACCTTCATAATTCTTTATATAGTCAATAACCTTTATGTGATTTTATAGAGTCCACCAACCTTCGTATTATGTCGAAAGTACCTTGATTTTTATGTAGCTGACCTGACGCAATCCTCCTATCGCTCGTCACGAACCATCTCAAGGATGATTCATAGGGATCTCGAAAGATAGCCAGAAGGAACGTTTGTTAAATAATAGGTCTTGAAACCTTAATAATCACCACTTTATTAAGCACAACTGTAACCGAACTCGCATAAACACATAACTCGTCACCTCTTAAGAATATTGATTAAATAATAATACAAAACCGTCGCTACGGAAGAAACAAAAAAAACATTAAAGGACGCTCTCACTTCCGACGATGAGAGTGTCGCTAGTCTTTGACTGTGCCCGTGTCCTTTAAAATTTCTGTATCCTTAACAAATATTTACCTTTATAAATGTTGATATAATATAATTTATAAATTACTAAGTAACAAAGCCTTTATGGCGCCCATCCATTGTAAAGTTCGACTGTGATACATACAAGAACTATATTTCTTACAAAGATTGTTCTAGTTATGGTACCGAAATTAATTTTTATCCAATCTAGTGATTAATATTTATAGTCGTAAATCCAAACCTTCCAGATAATAACATCAATGATTTTTATTGACCGTATCTGGCAATTAAAATTCTTATTGCGAAAAATATTACCCCAACCAGGATTCGAACCTGGGACCTCCCTCAATCCGTGCGGGCGTCTTAACCAGCTCGACCACTGGGGCTGTAGGTAATATTGTTCGCAATAACATATATTAGTTAAGATGTTTACGCGTCTATTTCGACTTTTCGGAACAGTCCGTCGATACGGGTTGTCGACCATACACTGAACTGTCGAAACGCGATTTTTTTAAAATTCCCTTTCCCCTGCCCTCCCCCTTTTCCCCCTATTACGGAGGAACACCATGTTTTGAGGTCAATGGTGTATAATAAACTATTAAGAATACTCTTAAAAGTCGCCAGCAGTAATTAACAACATCAATGATTTTTATTGACCGTATCTGGCAATTAAATTCTTATTGCGAAAAATATTACCCCAACCAGGATTCGAACCTGATCCAGATAATATTACTAGATAATATTACTATGATAATATACTGATCCAGATAATATTACTAGAATTTGCTGCTGTAAATTCTGCAGGCTATAAAGAATTTTTTACCAGATACAAAAACTAGCGATAATTTTTTATTGTGACATCTAGAGAAATCTATCTGCGTTAGTAAGATATTTTTTGGGGTGATTAATCTAGCTCCAACTTTTTAAAGCTACCATCTGCACCGAATAGATTTTCTGCATTTTCGCACTTGCCAACTCCCAAAGATTCGTTTATTCGCATGTGAATTTCGTCATACTGAAACCAATCGCGAAATTCTTCCAGTACTTTAATATACCTGGCTGTTATTTCCTTGATAGGTCCCGCTGTCCCACCATATTCATTTGGCAAACTCTCTATAGGCACATATTTCTTCACGGTTTCCATATTCGAATGAAAATGCAGCTAAAATAATAAATGTGTATTTATATCTTATATTTTTCCAGTGAGAAATAAAGGTCGGAAAGACGGCTATTAGACGATTATTAAACGGCATAGATATTAACGGCATCTAATAGTCGTCTAATAGACGTCTTTCCGACTTTCGTTTTTCACTGAGTTTCCTTTCTTAAAAAGAAAAGAAACTTAACATGTCGTTGACTTACCAGGTCCTTCTTTATGAAGGGTTTTATTACATTATAAAATGTATCTAATATGGGCATAGTGTTCAATACGTGAAAAGCCTTCAATCGAACTGGAGCTGCTTCTTGTATATAGAATAAAATCTTTTTTACTGCTGGTAAATTGAAACTAGCGATATGGCTAAGAGTCAAACCGGCTGCGTCAACAACAGTAACCTGTCCCTCGCTGGTGCCATGTATAATATTCTGCACTTCACATACCATAAGCAAATACTTAATACTTTCGAAAAAGTTAAATTTATCCGGATTCGGATCCAAAAATTTTCCAAATGTAATGATGTATCCTTCCTTGGTTTTTTGCTCTAATGGCGTGACTGCTCTATTATCGAAAAAATATTTTTCTTTATATGCGGATATGATTTTTAATGATACTTATTAATCTTAATAATTTGACAGAATAACTCACATGACAGAGACGGTCTCTCGCAATTCTTTGCACGTGATTACATCTCTATTAGTGAATACTTCTGGCGAATGCATCCTTACGTTTAAAAAATTTTCGAGCGTTTTCTTGGTCGGTTCTATACGATAATAGTTGCTATGCAAAAACAAAACAATATAGTACATGTCTACTTGTGGCATATGAGGCTGCTTATCCATCCAATCCTTTAACATTTGTAGATCTGACATCTTGAGTTCCGGATTTCGCTTGCACTCTTCTTCTATATTAACATATCGAGGCGGTAACATCGTTGCTCTGACAACCTACAAATTTGTCCACGTTTATAAGTTTTAAGAAGCACTTGTGCGAAAGAGAAAAAGAGCTATATATAAAATCAATAAATAAATAAATAATACAAATTAGTCAACTGACACGACGTAATCTTTCAATAATTTATGAAACTATCACTAGTACATGACATTTAGCAAGTTAAAAATCTTGGCATTTCATATATGTATATCACTTTAATCTATACTTATACTTTTTGCTTTCTTTCTCTATATAACTCTATACGCATTAGTTCTTTAAATTTAAAAATATAATACATTTTTCAATTGTACGAAGTAGAACATAATATTATTTATTTAAATTACTTATTCGCAGATCATTTCAATAGTATGTTTGGACTCTACTTTTATTCACGATTTTGAATAGTACACTTTCTATATTTCGCATATTTAATGTCTACGGAAATTAAAATAATATACTAACAAGAAAATTGTTCAGGGTCCCCAGCAATAATTAACAACATCAAGTTTTGTTTCACGTTTCGACCATAGGTTTTGGTCCTTTTCAAGCGATCTGACAATATAAATTAGAGATTTACAAATTAATACATAAATAAAGTAAACAAGTTTGAGATATTAAGTTCACAGTTACAAAAATTATAATTGTTAGAAGTATTACCTAAGATAGTCATATACATAGACTTGTGTGTATTTTAGTGATGTAGAAAGGATTGTCATGTATAATCACACACTAAAAATGAGAGCGTTAGAGAGAGAGAGAGAGAGAGAGAGAGAGAGAGAGAGAGAGAGAGAGAGAGAGAGAGAGAGAGAGAGAGAGAGAGAGAGAGAGAGAGAGAGAGAGAGAGGAGAGAGAGAGAGAGAGAGAGAGAGAGAGAGAGAGAGAGAGAGAGAGAGAGAGAGA